CGGCTGTGGGGCGAGCAGCGAGGGGCGGGCGCCCCGCAATTTAGGCCTCATTCATGCCAGGCTCGATCCTTTCCAGGGCCCGTTCCCAGGCCCAGGGGCTAGAGACTGCCCGGTTAGGAAGTGACTCAAGCTGCGATTTTCCCCCCATCCCAGCGCTCCAGGACCGGGAAGCTGAACCCCAGGATAAAATGCCCAATTGGCAGCACCGCGTTTAAACCAGGCTCTACCAGGCAGGTGCTTAACACCGAACGCTCCCCATAACCGCATTCATCTCTGTACCCACAAACTGCCACCCCCGGCCCTGAGTGGCCCAGCTCCCCTTGCCCCCATGGCCAGGTCGCAGCTGGGGAGGGAGTAACCGGTCTTCTCTACAGTGCACCTCGGCCTCCAGCCCCATTTTCTCTCCTCTCAAGCACAAGATTTTCATTTCTGCCCTGCCAGAGTGAAGGGCAGAAGAATTCCTCTGGCTGCGGGGCTCATTTCTGGTGTCAAGGGTCTTGTCTGGAGCGAGGAATTTGTCCAACTGCGCTATGAGCAGCTGGACGTCTGCCTCTGCCCCTCCTGGTTAACAGCCAGAGCGTTTCTAGGGGCTGCAAAAGCTGGCCCTGCTCTCCAGGCAGAACAAGCTGCAGGAAGGGCCTCAAGTGCTCGGTGACGATGACCGTCTCTGTGGGCCCTGGCCAGCAACATTGAGCGCAGCCCTGGCTGCAGGCAGCAGTGTCCTTCGCGCTCCCTCCCAACCTGGCGTTCCACTGGTGGCAGCAAGCAGCGTGCTGCCATCGGAGCACCAGGGCTGCCACCCGAGCTGGTCTGTCTCTAGACTCACGTCCCACCCAGGTGAGAAACAGTTGGAACCAACTGTTGAACTCCCAGGGTGTTCGGTGCCCTGGCAAGAGGAGTTAGTTGGAGAGCAGGAACAGCCCGCACCCCAGAGCCAAGTTGGATGTGCAAAGAGGCTGAACGCTGAAGATCCTGGCCCTGCGGCTGGGGCTTCCACGGGAGGGCTTTGCTGCCTATTCTGTTATCTGCCTCAATCGTAAGGTTGTTTCCGGAGCTGCTGCTCTGGCGTCTTCCACAAGTGCCACTAGGCCAAAGCAGCTGAGGAGCTGGGTCAGCCGAGCCGCCACTCCCCCAGCGCAGCCCTGCCCTGCACAGCGGCGGCCAGTCCAGGCGCCAGGGCTCCAAGCAGCGAGGCTTTCCCTCCCCGCTGAGATTATCCTGCACTTCCACATCATTCTGATATCCCCCTTGAACAGTCAAGCTTGACCCGAATCCTACTACCTTCGGGCACTTAACAACAATTCAAACATTATACAGGGATAACATCAATCATAGAAATATTCCAGTCCCAAATGTTTCCTCCCTAGGCTTGAAAGCCACCAAATCACAGAACCAGAGCAAGTGTGGGTGGAGGGACCTCAGGAGTTCACATCTCGCCCAGCCCCTGCCCCAAGCAGGACCAGCCCCAAATACATCCCAGCCAAGGCTTCCTCTACTGGGGGCTTAATATTTAAGTCTTCTGTGGAGCAGTTGGTTGGTGCAGGACATGACAACCCAAAAATGAACGGGTTGTAAATTCAGCCCTGGCTCTAGTTTTTGGAGTGAGAAAGGAATTTATTGTATTAATATTATTATTATTATTATTATTATTAATTTCTGACTGCAACAGGGCACAGTTTTGCAGGCACGCTGCGCGGTCTGTAAGTGCTTGTAGCTGGAATACCCAAATCAGCCCATAATAATAAAAAACAATCTTCCTTTTGAAAATATATATCTATCACTAAATCCGGGGGGTTTTATTCAGTGTCTTTCTGGCACCTTGCACTGGGCGGCTGTGGGGGGAGCCGCAGAGGCCTGAGGGGACCCAGCCCCGTCCAGGAATGGGCATCCCTGCCATGGCCACCCTCCCCCGGGCAGCCTCACCCTGCAATAAGGCTTTCCCGTTTGCAGTCGGGTGTGGCCGCCGATGCATGGGGGCTATGTTTAGTCAGTGGCAGGTGGTGGCCTCAGTCTTTCCCACCTGTAAAATGGAGCTGCGAGGTGCAGTGGGAGGACAGAATGACTCCATGCTGCACCAGTGAGCTGAGCCTGGCTTGTGGGGTCTTGAACCCGGCCAAGGAAGCCCAAAGAGGCCGGAGCTGCTGCAGGGGTGGAGGCAGCTGGGGGCAGCCTCAAACCTGCAGCTTGAGTGTGGACAGATGTGTTGTGTGAGGTGCTCCACGTGCTTTTGAAGTGCTACAGTGAGGGTGTAAATAAGTGATTCTCAATTCTGGTGCTAGCGCACTCTGGGATGCCATGCAATTTTTGAAGGGTGCTACTGATGCAAGGAGATGAGTGCAGACTCAGGCTTATCCCTGCCTGGCTGCTGCCCCCTCGCTGCCCAGGCCCTCTGCACGGAGGTAGTGCTGCCCTGTCCACACTGGGGCTTGAAACGGGGGGCACTCAATTCGCAGAAGTGAGGAGGATGCCTCCAGTCTGACCAGGGTGAGAACCACTGGTCCAGCACAGAGGCAGCTTACCACCCCAGTCTGAACACATGGCGCATTTACACGTTCATTAATGCGTTGTAGTTACTGTACATTCAGTTTAGTACTTGCTTAATAAAGTACTAACTACATGTGCAGTACCTAGAGCTCCTGCGTAGTACTGCTGGTGCACGGTTATTTAGTGACGCTTACTGCACGTTAGCCTAATAACTGCGCAGGAAGCTCGGTTTGTGGTGTGACACGCTACTGCGCAGTGCTATTATTAGGCTAACGTGCAGTAAGTGTCTTGTGTACAAAGCTTCAGACACATGGTGGCCACTATGGGGGAATTTTGCAGTCCTACCCATACATTAAGGAATCAAACCAGGTGCTCGTTGCTTGCATGGGTCAATCAGCAATTATATTGGATTCGGATCAAGGTGCTGGCTCTTGATCCTGCCCCCAGCCCACAGCTGGAGTCCCCACTGTTTTTTTAAAAGAGGAGCTCTGTGTTTGATGGGATTAAAAAAGATCCCTCTCTTGAGACACTAATATTCAGTATCCTACTGCAACATAATTCATCCGTTGAGGATCCTAAAGTTAGGGCTGGTTCCAGGGCAAGAGAGAGCCGAATATTGTCCTCTTGCTTTTAGTGAAGCAGTAGCAGCCTTAGGGAAGGGTAAACTGGGCAACTGTCCGGGGCCCCATGCTTTAGGGGGCCCCAAAATTTTGCAACAACACTGAATATTTGTATTATCATGATCAATATTGTGTTAAGATACTTTCATTGCAGTTTCATGGATAGGGCAAAGTGAAATTGGAATAAAAAAATGTCCAACTTGCTTATAGGTCATTGAAATTAAGCCTCTAAGGGGCCACAAATGGACTCTTGCCCAGGGCCCCAAGAACCCTAAGGCCACCACTGAGCGAAGTATAAAGATCAGGAGCGATCAGCTACGTCGGTAACAGGGATGTGTGACCACAGCAAAGAGAAAAGTGAGGTTAGTCACCCGGCTAAAGACAAGATTTTAGTCATGCAGGAGAAGCAAATCATTTATTTACACATTTGTTTGTACAACATTACAGCTACTTGTAAGGATCCACGTTAGCAATAACCTCCCCACCCCCCATAAAATATGTCACAAGAAAATACAGGGGAAGGGATCTGGTGACACACTGCAACAATATTTATATCACTTAATTGTGTCATAATTAACAGGATGATACCAAAAAAAAACAGTCAGACGCAGCATTAGTCAGCTGCCCGTTTGAGGCATTTCAGTAGTGAGCGGATGGGTTTCATTAGTTTTTTTTCCCACCAAGCAATCTTTCAAATTGGAAAATAAATAACATCGCCACCCCCCTGTTTTTAAAGTATTTTTACTCTCATTCGTCAGCAAAGCAGGTGACAGGTTCATTCAAAGATTTCTGCTCGTCGGGAACTGGAAGAGTCGTGCTTTGTAAATCTTACGGTTTTGGAGCACGCTGCCGTTTGTTTGCCGCCTGTTTGTACGAGCTGCTGATGTCCGTCAGACGCAGACAAGCCACTGAAACACAGGACGCAGCGGATGGTCTGGGGCCACGGCCTTCAGACGGACATGCATCCTCCCTGCGTCTCCACACCTGAAAGGTGCAGTTCAATGATATTCATTCGCCTCCGTGAAGCGCTCAGAAAACCTTGACCTATTACTGTCATGCTCTGGTGCATTCAGTAGTTATCCCCCACCAGTGAGAGTTTGCCCATTGGCTTCTACAGGGTTTTGGATTAGGCCCTTAACCCTGCACCAGTAAAGTTAATGGGAAGGGCTGACGTGAATGAGTGTCAGACTGAGCTCTGAGAGCACGTGGCTGCCTGGGGGGTGTGCTGGGCGCACAGGATGTCATTGTTCTCAACTGAAGGAGGCAGCAATAATTTGTGAGAGCAACAAATGGGCTGTGGGTGGCAAGTTCTTTACAGCTCTGCACAATTTCTGCACCAGTTTAAATTGCATCTCTGTAGAAATATATAGGCAAATCAATGCAACCCTGCTGGGTGGATGTAAGTTATAGCAGCATAGCTCAGTTCCACAAACCTCCTGAAATAAGCCCCTGATATGCTCTATCCCCACCAGGAAATGGCACTGATTTCACTATATAAACAGGCAGTTACATTGGTACAAAAATCATGCCTAGGTCTTTCCTAAGGGAAGCAAACGGCTTATTCCATTCCCATGTCACAGCATCGCATTTGCTTTCCAGTTATCTCCATTCCTTTAAAGAAAGGCACATCCTAAAATCCTCTCTTAGGAAAAACTCCCGCTGAAGCGAACAAGAGTAAAGCCAAGAACACAAGATGAGCCTTTAAGCATTTTAATTTTTGTGAAGCACTATGACTTCATTTTTGATTTCAACGGATATGAGATTTCAACCGAAACCAACCCCAAACGGGCACCTTGGTTTAAGGAGATTTTGTCTGATGTTCATTTGAAGCAAAAAAGCAACCGCTTGCCTGTAAAGTGAGTAAGAACTGTAACCGTCAACTCTAGACTTAACTAAATTTAGTCAGCAGTTTAAATATTTTGAACTCACTAAAACTGACAACAAGATACAACTGGTTTTTAATGACACGACAGCAGTAGATTTGTGTGTTCGTGTGACAATGCTTTACAAAAGAGACCATCTGACACAAGGCTCCTAAAGTAAGACAGAGAACTGCTAATTATTTTAACTTTGATTTGCTAAGTATTTTAGGACATGACCTAGTGTTTCTAAAAAAACCTGTACAAAATGAGTCATTTCTTTTTTTTTTTTTTTTTTTTTTTTTTTTACATCCAGTTGAGGCACATGAAATACAAATCTGATCTATTTTATATATACACATTTACAGTACATGAAAAAACGGATGAAGCTCAAATGAAAAAAAAAAAAGGTACATATAAAAAGTGCCCAAAATAGCAGATAAAATGTAGGGAAAAAAATCTGGTACACTCACAACAGGTGAGTAAAAGGCACAAGTACTACATTGTAACCATGCAAAAATCATGAGTATAATCTGTGCAACAAAGCAAAACTAATGGCTCCCACAACAGAGTTTACAATAATTCTCAAAATATACCAGTATTTAAACATACTGTAAGTGCAACATTTACTGCCCTATAGCATACTAAAGGGTTCATATGGGGTGAAATCCCCCTGCACCGAGCTGATGGCAGGGTGTTAGACAAGGTGGTGGCTGGTGCTGGGGGTTGCTGTGCAGTCAAGTCTCTGGGTTGGAAGAGTGGTTGCAGCCCCAATATGTGGGTTGGCTTTGGTGCGTTGGATCCACTGAAGTGCCAGCCTGCTCCAGCATAGCCTGGGCACAGAGGGGCGTCTGCTCACCCTGCTCTCCCTCGGTTTGCCACGTGGCATAAATGTCAGGACTTTGCCCTGCTCAGCCAGCCGGGGTGAATTTTACTCCACCGAGAATGGTGATGTGAAAACTGACAGCTCAACTGTTACATCAAGGTCGAAACGAAACGAAACATTTGTGCGCAAGTTCAAAGTACGTGTATGACACAGACCTACCAAATCCAGGTTTCTTAATACAGATTTCTACTATGCTTCAAGTTTTGCAAAAAAGTAACCTCGCTCTAATTACACAGCTAAGTAGCTATTCTTTTCGCAGTTCAAAAGCTGCGGGCTTTAGTTTACTGGCCTCGATGAAGAAAAGAAAACAGGATGTTTAGGGAATGAAATGTAACATTTTCAGCCAGCTCTGCACCATAATAAATCCCACCGCAGAAGGCTCCTAGCTACAGCAACCCATTCATATATTTGATGATCTGCATCTATCTGTGAGGTACAATATGCCTCTAAGCTTCATGGCGAGGTTAGGCCTTGCAAACTGAGGTACTAATCAGTGACTAGGACTTGTAACTAGGTTAACTGTGCGGAAATAAAGCTTACAGGAATGTCTCAGTGCAACCTCACTCCAGACTGGCTCAGGGCTCATCTACGCTGCAGATTCAAATGTCACGGGATTCAGCTGCAACATGCTTTTCATGGCATGTACATGGGACCCGACTTGTCTTTAGTAACCAGAGTAAAGCTGTGGATAGGATTAGCTCGTGAAAACACAGTTAAAATCCCAGGAATGTTTTAGTATCTAAAAAACTCAACTGACGCCAAGCAGACAAGGTTTGTTCTCTCCCACTGGTTTAACATGGTCGCACTAAGGCACGCAGGTACTATGGAGATGGATGCACACCCTTCTCTGCAGCAGTGAAGGAGGTAAGTGAAGAGCAAGTCAGCCTATAATATATATGGGTGTCTGGAAAAGATGTACTATGGTGAGATCCACTTAAAAAAAAGTGACCTGCTTCTTGGAGTAACTGCCAGTGAATTCAGCGCAATGGATTTCACTGAGTCTAAGCTCCGGATTAATGGCACGTTAATTGTGGAAGACCTGACAGGGCATACACAGGCTTTAAAGGTACGTTGTCAGAACAGTCACTAACTCATGGTCTTTTGTGTTGACCAAGCTTTACACGACAAGGTGAATATTTGTAATCTGAGCACTGCTGAACAATGCAGTCTGTGTTTAAAAGTATCAGCTGCATTGTCTATGCAGGTCTTTTAGAACAGAGTGGTTGGCAACCCCTTAGCACCGGACCTGTACAGCCTCGACAGAGCATAGATATCGCCAGACCTCTAAAAACCCAGTCAAACACTTCAAAGATGTGTTTGCTGGTTTTTGCAAGCCAAGACATAGCAGGTATAAATTGGTGCTTGGAAGCATAACATTTCCTGGGTGCCATCTGTTTTTTTTACTCTAAGCTACAGGCCAGACACAAAGATAATAGGCGAGTGTTACATAGCTTTCTTGTGGCTGCCAGAAGTAGCTTTAATATAATTCTCAACAATGTGCTAATGCCTTATGCAATATATGTATATTCAAACAAATCATGCAATAAAAGCAACTACTGTCCAGCTCTATTAGTATGAGCATTTGATAACTAGGACAGCTATTAATGGTTGTTTCTATTAGCTCCCATAAGAGTCACCAGCTGCAGTTCTTACCCATGCAAAGCTTAAAGCACGACTCAGCTTCGCCTGAGAATGGACTCAAGAATTGCACTCTGCATAGATTTAACTCTACTTGCACATACAGACTACAGGTTTCTACCTCTTGCAACAAAAGATTTAGACCTAAAAAGCTAAAAGAGAGTTCTCTCTAGGGAGGACTGGCATCATCACAAGTAATGGGGGCTAAAGTGATGATCCCTGCTATGACCTTGCTATCTTTTACGCGAGAGCATGTGCGATGGTTTGCAAGCCTATTTCATGGCAGGTGGCAATGGGTGAGATTCTCAAGCTTATGTGGCAGTTCTTGCCATCTGCAGCAGCAGATGCAACTGCTTCAGATTATATTTCTCATTACAAGTACTAAACTAAATGGATAATCACCAGTTATGGAGGTCAACAATTGTAGACCGATGCCTGTGTTAACCCAAAGTTCATTAGAAGGCTACTATCCAGAGCTGGTTGATTTTTTTTTTTTTTTTTAATTGTCAAAACTCTACAATTTGGAAAACATTGTGTAGAAACATTAGCAAGACCTTGGGATGTCCCCTCCCCGATCCATTTTTGGACCAGCTTATGCTAATGCTCTGTCCTTGGTCAGTGAAAATAGGGCCACTCAGCCCTTCCCTCTACTAGATTAAAATCTCCACTTGCTGATGCTCATTCTGGTTCTGCTCCACCTGCTATCACAGGAGGGGACGCAAAATAGTGGGGGTAGCTGGAGTTTCAAGCACCATATCATCCGAACTTGCCATGAGCGGGATGAGTCAAGATAGTGGTCCAAAGCCAAACATCCAGTCTCCCCAGCTGTCCCCACGTTTGCCATCACGTGCCGAGCTAAACAGTGCGGGAACTCTACAGGGGAAGCCCATCAAAAACTCCCGAAGATATAGGACCAATTGCAAAAAAAAAAAAAAAAAAAGTGCCAAATTTACTAATCTGAATGTGTGCAGAGAACAAACCACCTTCTCAGTCCCAGAGATGGTTGCTCCACATCGTGGTTGAGAAACATCGGGCAGGTAGCCAAGTATTTTGAAGCACCGCTCCCCTAAAGGTTAGGGGCCAACTCTGCATTCCTTGGATATCCAGGGCTCAAAAGAATGAGATTCAAGCCATTCTAGTACTTTCCTAGAACTATAAATCCGTGCCAAAAACCTCCCCAAACAAACCACTAATAACATGCACAAACCATCACAAATTCAGCAACTCTGGGCTAAGGGCCCTTGTGCTCTCTCAACCATCTGCAAACTTCAATTTGTTCCCAGATACGTTTTGAATCAGATATGCCAGTATTTGATTTAGAAAACTGAGTGACCACAAATTATCACTTTTGTTCTTCTTTTCTGGTGGTAAAGTGGAAATAGGAGTAGGGTTGGGGGTGCAAGGAGGAGATTTTTTTTTTTTTAAGTTTCTAAAGTTAAAAGGCCATTTTCCTTTAAAATATTCTGAAGGATTTTTTTTTAACCAGCTCTAATAGTTGCAAACTAAAAATATAAACCCAACTAATTGTGAGCCCACAAGAAAATTCAGCCACCTTCCTTGCTGGGCGCACACAGTCTTTAGTTATCTCACCAAACTGTTACATTTATAGGTGGTCCATTGAAATTACATGGTCTTATTATAAAGCAAACACAAATATTTTTTAAAAATGCTCCAAAGAGCACAGGTAGAACAGGAATATTCTAGGTAAGGAATCTAGAATTCAAACCAAATGCATGCAGTAATCCATCTCAATCTCTACACATGCGTGTCTTGTTTCATTAAAAAAAAAAGAGAAAGAGAAAAGCAGCAGGCTTGCTGTGTGGTTCAAAAAGTGGACTGTTGTTGGGATCAAGATTTTTGTACTAAAACAAGTCTTGAAAAAGCATGCAGGACCAAAGGAGTGAAATTCTAACAACCTTCACATCCAGCTGTTTCTCCTGTGCCCTTTTGATGACTTTCCTTGAGCAAGTACAGTGATGACACTTGATACACAGATGACCGATATTACTTACACTAGAAGCTATCAAGTAACTGCTCATAGAAAGCCTGACCCGGTCCCACTGAAATCAACCCAAGTCTCACCATTGACTTAACAGGAGTTTGATCACATCACCCGACTCCAACTTCCTTGACAGAACCTCTAACGTAGTAAGTTTTCCCTGCCCTTGTTCAAAAAGATAAAAAATAACCCCTAATATTCTCTGACACTTAAAACTGAAACATCAATGTATTCACTCATTTTAAAATTCAAATATGCCTTAATTTTACAACTGACTACTACAACTATGACTTGGAGATCATTTAACAGTGACTTGTCTTACCAATACAGTTGCCCAACTGCATCACTGTCATTACAGGGCATAATCATTATATGTACATTAGCCTCGGTGTCCCAAATTACTAACAGGTTTACAAAACCCAAATGTGATGGGCCAGTTTTTTTGCTAGCCTACATTAACACAGCTCCCATGACTTGGAAATGGAGCTACAGCATGTCACACCGGCAGAAGATTTAGCCTTACATCTTTCATTAGCATCCTAGGTAAATTAATGAAGCTATATTGATTCTTCCATATAGATGACAGAAAAACATCAGAATTTTCCCCCCAGCTGCAAAAGAAAACAAAAAGTGGAAAATGTGGTGGTCAAAGAACATAGGTCATTTGGTTGGAATTCATTTGACCAGTACAGATTAGGTTAGGAAAAAACCCCTGAGGGGATAGATAATAGTTTGTCAATAAATGTCAGCTCTTCTCTAAATGAGTTTCCAAACAGCGCTGGTCTTCAGCTTCATAAGTAAAAGGCAACTGAAGTGATTCCAAATGCATGAAAAGCATGCTCTTTTCACATGTCAGTACAAGACCACGTGCCAGAAATTTAGAAATCAGAGCTACGCATCAGCTGAGGACTGGCATTCCCAGCGCACGTACTGACATCGGGAAGGGCTTTGAGGATTGGCTTCAACTACTTGGAAACAAGAGGAATTTTTTCTTCTCCCACAGTAGTCTGCTTAATATTATACTGACAATGCAACTTCTGAAAAAGAAGTAAGCTGTCCTTCCCCACCCTCCTAACTATGCAAACAGGAAAAAAAAACAACCAACTTTGTAGTCAATTTAATTATGAATCACTATATTACTTCAGAGTTTCAGAACCTGAAATTAAATAACTTGCTCCTTTTAAGGAGCAAATGAATACAGATATAATATGTTGAACTGAATTTAGGTTATCAGAGGCAAGCAAAAAGCTTGTTTCCAGTGTAGGAAGAACGGTCATTGCATTTGGGTGTTGCTAGAACATCGAGATAACATTAAAACACTGGATAAATTATTTCAAACTCCAATTGAAGTAAATTAACCCAGGCAGGTAAAGCCAGATACCACTGGTAACTCTTCCACGCAGAACTCATTCCCAGACTCGCAGCAGCACCTTCACTCCGGTGACCACTCCCATTGGACTCAAATGGGAACACTCGTGCAAGTAGTTACATGTACTCAAGTGTGTAAAAGCTAAAACTGTTTGTAAAATTCAGGCCAGATCCACACACACAGCACGAAGTCAAGCAGCAAAAAAAGGAAGCAGAAACTGCCTGCATTTCCCTGGCTGGGACTTCTCCTGACCTGTATTCTGGTCTAGAGAGGGCAAAGCGTGCAGCAAGTCAGAGCAACAGAACTGAAACCGGTCTCCCTTCCCCCTACCTGGTCTTTCACTGTAGCTTTTGGACATAACAGAGAATCTGCCCCTATAATTCAAAAATCAACCTCAGATTTTCCCCATTAGGTGTCATCCAAGATAACAATATAACTTTGCACCAGATACACAAGAGACTCTTTTTGTCCCCTGGCTTGCATAGCAAGACAACTTGGTTTCTTAAGTGCTACTAGCGACCGTAGATCTAATATTAGACTCAAGTCTAAAAACCCGAATCTCAGCTACAATATGTTTTTTTTTGTAATCGTGCTGCCTTAGAGAAGATTGCCTTTGCTTCCTTCCCAGATGAAGGCATTTAACATATTGCTCATTTTTCAACCCACATAAGGAATATGCAAACTACAAATACAAGGTGATTCCATGCCAAGGGCCTAGCGTTAGCCTCCTCAGGCAGCAGTAATATAAACTGTGTCTGAGAACAGAAATCCTGTGGGCTGAGGGACAGATTCTTTAAGTGTTCAGCAACCAACTGCTTTGATCTAAACTGCTGGAAGCTTTTGAAAAAAAAACAACTGCCCTTAAGCATGAAATTCATCCCTTCCATACTCAGCCTAAGTGCAATTTTAAGACTAAAATGAAACTTGCAGCCTACTCATCACCGATGGGGGATGTCTGCACAAAGGTGGATTTGACCCAAATTATGTAGGGCTTGATCCTGCATCCACTGAAGTCCATAGGAGCTTTGTTACTGGCTTCACTGAAAACAGGGTCAGAGCCTGAAGTGCCCGATTCAGTCCTTTTTTCCTGCACCAATCCCCCCCAAAAATCTCACATGCTTTCTACTCCCAAGAAACTATCCAGTGCCTTCAGCATCATGCTGCCCTCGTAACTAGTTTTAGCATTATACTAAAAACAACTCCCTCCATGATGAAGACAGCTTCTAGAGCTGGCTCAGGGGAACACCCACGTCTTTTCTGGACAAAGAACATAACCGTTGCTCATCTGAGTCAGCAACAGGCTCATCCGCATCAACAGATTTCACAGCGTGAGAACGGGCTGGAAACAACTTGGCATTCCCTGCAGGCAAGTATGATCACGTCTCATCTTGTATCTAGGGGTTGGGGCTAATCTAAACTACAGCTCCGTGTAGGTAGACCAAGAGCAAGTGGTGACCAGGTGGCAGGATTTTAAACAACAGTCCAGGCCTATGACAAGGGCCAAAGCCTTGGCATGGACTCAGAGGCAGCTGGGCTCTCCAGCATGAACAGGCAGCTGCAGGTTCTCAGAGGGGAAATGTGTAGATAGTGTATAGCTAGCATAGCTATCTAGATCTTCCCTCCCCAATACCACATCTACCCTCCATGTACGGTACATGGGGGTGCACTGTGCGCTACCTGTTCCCCTCCAAATACAGACCTGGAGGAGATGATACAATTTAGCGTAGCCCATAGGGTGTTTTATATTACTCCAGACTCCAGTTTGGCCTCTTGTGGGTACACAGGCAGAGGGACAGCTCCAAGTTCTTTTCTTCCCGCTCTTGACTACTCACAATCTGGCCCTACATGTTTAAATAAAGTTAAATGCCACAATGACATCTGTCCAGTGCAGATGGGCCCAGTAGGTGCATCCAGGGTTGCAAAAATGATTTTGTTTTCCGTGGTTACCCTTCTAGAGCACTACACCTGGCTGATAAAAGCAGTTTCCTGATGCAAAGTTGCCTTCAAGAAAGCCCATTTTCAGTGCTCCCACCCAGTCTCCCGTTATTCCAACAAGACGTCATTGAAGGCAAGAGTACAGGGACTGCTGAAAAATATATATATATATTTACATCCATAATCCGAACACGGAAATCACGTATTCAGTTAAGGAAAAATGTATCACATACACACGCAAAAATACATACAAAGCATGGTGGGTGTGAGACATTGCCGAGAGCAAGCAATACACAGAATAGCACAATCATATCTATAGAAACATTCTTCTGAGAAGTATATTAAAATAGTTATCATGGAACCATCTCATACTTAGAGAAACTCAGATATTTGGGTCTATTTCTCCATAATCAAGTTCCCTTGCTTTTGCCTGTTGCTGTGGATCAAAATAGTGAGCAATTATTTCTTTTTCTTTTTTTTTTTTTTTTAAAAATACTTTTAGTGCTTGGAATAAAACTGTAACATGTAAATAAGTACTACCAATTCCCCACCTTGATTTTGATTTTTTGATTATTTAATTAAAAAAAAAGTCCAATTTCTACAGTACATGGACCCAGTTCAGGAGACCACATAAACATATGTCTAAGCCCATCTTTATTCAAGGCAAAACTCAAGCATGTGCTTAACTTTAGCCATATGTTTAGGTCCCACTGAATTCAATGGGTGTTAAACTCTCACAAAGTTCCGCACCTGCATAAATGCTCACCTTGATCAGGATGTCTTTCAGATCTAGAGCATATCCATATGTGCACGTGCATGGACAGGATGTCATCCTAGGGTGGATGACTGTGGAGTGTGAAACAGCAGTGGTTGGGGAGGGAAAGATACCTATCATAGTTAATGAACTCTATATTCAAGAAGTTTTATAAACGCACCTGTTACTCTTAACCGCCCCAAGGTGATTCTATTTTATATCAAGGCTTAACTGGTCTGCATAAGATAGCGGTAGGGTGCCAGTCTCTCCCACCACAGACCACCCACAAATGCCTCCTCTGATGGGTGCCACACCATATATCTGGGGAGTGGGGAAAAAACCTTAGCTAATTGCTTAGGTTAACATGTTTTTGGAAACATTAAGTGGATTGTTATAGTCACTAAAATATACATTTTCCTCTTATTTTTTAAATAAGAAACAGAATGTGCCCATAATTTAAACTTTAAAATGCAAAAGAGCAGGATCCCAGAATAAAGTTTGAAGGGCCCAGTGAAACCCCTCCCTGAAAATAGGGGTATATACTTCAGACAGCTTCTCAGCCTTAGCACTTCAGGGACCCCGGCATAACAAACACACATGCATGCACTCACTCTACACAACAGGCTGGCAATCATCCCAAAGGATATCCTAAAATCCAATGCATGAACTATTTTAAAAGCACTTTGTACAGACAGTGGCAAACACGTGGACAGTGAGCCTACATGGGTACTAACATTTCTGCAGTGGGCTTTTACCCTTTTCACATCATATATGTACATTCATTACTTAAAAATAAAAGGGACAGATTTTGCCAAAGGCCTGTTTTGACCTCTTGTGGTCTCAAAAGGAAGGCTCCAGCAAAATTAAATTCAACAGAGAATGACAGAGTCAGCACCAGTCAGATATTGAACCTGGATATGTTGCATTTTTGGGGGTACCCAACTTTCTGGAAGAACGAGAGAGCAATTCTTTGTTCTTACAGGGACATCCATATGTTTCCATTGTCTTTTACCTTTACAACTAGAGGTAGAATCATTTTGTCCAGTATCTAAAACAACGTGATCCAGTCATATTGTTATTACATTAATATACAGTATCAATCTCATCACAGGTATTGAAAGTGCATGGAAATACTAATTGAGCCAATTTTGACACAGATAACAGTGTACCAAACATCATATAAACACACCCACGCACTCACACACACACACACACACACATATATATATATATTTATAAATTAATTTACAGTATCAGAGTGATGCTTAGATCCAGTGGCATGTGCAGAAATATCAGGCAGTTGCTGCTCTTTCCTTTAATTTTTTATTTCCAAGATAGAGGGGTTGTGGTCAAGGATGGCCAGGATGATCTTGTCCATATACTGTCGCAATCTGTAGTTTATCTCCTCCTGTTCTTTAAGAGCTTCCATGAGCTGAAATACAAATTTCAAAAGCTAAGCATCTACTGCAGAAAGTCACACATATCTACAGCATTATGTAAACTACCATTCAGAGGTGGTTTAGTCTGTCTCAGACCACCTTCATGTTTAAAATTACTTGGATTCCTTTTAGTGGTAACATACTTTGCTTTTATCCTCCCCCAGCCTTAAAGCAATGGCACAAAAAGAGATAAACTGCTGTCTTATGGAAGGATAGGTAAATGCAAAAAAAGTCTCACTGGCACTTTGCTCGAGTCAGCAGCATAGCCAGAAACAGCATTCAAGATTCCCAAACCAGAGTCCCGTGTTTTGTGCACCAAGCTATACTGGTTCCTCAAGGACTGTGTAATCCCCTTTTCCACATTTTAGACATTAAATTCATAATATTTTTTTTTAAATATTTCTTTGGAAATCTATTTGAAGAGGATGCTGTAATTAATTACAGGATATGGAGAGAATTCTAATGGCATGCTGTGGCCATAGTTTCCCTTCCAATAAAAGACTTCTCTTTAATCAACAGTACTCTGCATTTACTCTAGATTAATCTACAGGGAATATTTAGTTCTTGTACTTTCAGTGAACCCTTTCAAATTCTTAAAATGTCTCTCTCTAGTCAAACACAAATTGGTCTTCATACCCTATACATTTAGGTTGAGATTATGAAAGCTACCTAAGGAGATTTAGACTCTCAGTTCCCATTAAAATTAACGGGACTAGAGCACTGAGATCCCATAGGTGGTCTTTAAGCAATATTATAATTTGAGGCCGAGATTTTTATCTTCCATAGGAACTTGCCAATCATTTGGCATCACAGGCTTTTTGTTGAAAAGGTCTGTGACGTTCAATAAGCGTGGGCCAGAGAAAACCATAAAGTGAAGCAGAAACAAGATGCAGCTTATTCTCGGAAAGGAATGCCAGACACAAGCCTGACAGCATCTTAGTTTGGTAGCAGCAGAAACTTTGCTTCGTTCTGAGAAAGTTTCACCAAATGACAGTGTGCAACCAATCTTCACACCAGATGTCTCTTAAGCCCTGGAGTGCTCCTTGGAAGTCAACAGGGCTACTCAAGTCAGGCATAATACCTGTATTAGGATTTCCTTCTGTAAAAGTATAAAACAAAATTGCTCTGTTTAACACTTAAACCAGTTGCCTGCACTTTACCTGTAAATGCCCTGGAAGTCCACAAGCCTTGGGATTTGAAAGTACCTCTGGACTCATCTCAGCTGGTCTCCTGCCCAAGTGCAAGTGTTCCTATACAGTATCTCCCCAAGTGTTAAATCAGATTCCTGTTTGAATGCTGCTTACTTCACTGAATCTCAACAGAATGGATACGGGTAGAGAAGCTTTAAAATAGCAGAATTAGGGAAAGCCTCAGCAGAGGGCCAGGTACTGTAAATCCACCAACTTTAATGGAGCTATACTGGTTCATACTGGGGAAGCTCAAAACCAAATCTGAGATCATATTTTTTTTTAAAGACCTGTAATAGGGCCAGTCACTTACTGGAAACAAAAGGGGGGGCCTGTATCAGAAGGCAATGCACCAAGGAAACAGTATTATATAAAAGGTTAGATAGCATGATATAAATTCTTGTAAAAACTGTATTCAGATACCAAAAACTCAGTTTTATTTACAAGAAAATGAGCTGGTTTCTTCTAAATATCTAAAAAAATGTGATTCCATGTAGCTCGTGTTACAGTGATATTCCACAGCTCCCTGAAGAGTGGAATTGTAGGTTGCCAATTGGTTATCTTAAGACTGGATACCTTAGCAGCATCCCCCTCAGAGCACCTCATTACAGCTGGCATCGTTCTACCATCATTTGCATTACCTCATCTCTTGATGCAGAGTCTATTTCAGCAGCCAAGGACTGGGCTTTTGTCTGTGTTGCAAACAGATTCTTAGCTTCGTAAAGACTAAGACTTAGGATCTGTCCGTTAAGATCATCATTCTGGTCACGAAGTTTCTGATTTTCCTATTAAAAGAAAAAAGATATTGCAACCTGTTATAAGTTTAAAAAAAATCCTCAGGAGAAATAAGCAGCAGTTCAGGTGATGTGGGCATGCCTTATGCCTGCTGGGTGCATCACTATTCATCTTCATGAACTGTTCTTTCCAACAGTACAGCTAGTACCTGTATCCACTCTGAGAATGATCAAAACACTGAGCTAGGGACAGACATTCAAAAAGCTTGAGCCTGAATTGATTCAATCTTTGCAGGTTAGTCTGACCTGGCTAGGCTGAACCGATTTGTAACTGGACAAAGATTCTCTCTGGACTGAGGAAATGCAGGCACATGCCTGTAGTGGCTTAGGCTAGAAGCTGGGGGGAGGGGGAGAGGGGCGCTAGAGCAGTCCTCCCTCCTTCCACAGTGCTGAGCTGAGGGGGTGCAGCCTCAGTGCAGGACTCTAATTAGGGATGTCTGCCTGCACCATCCCAGGCTTTTCCCCACTGGCTGCTCAAGGGGTGGGAGTGTTACCAGATCCCAGCCTCCTGCCAGCACTGAGGCAAAGGGGGGGGGGGACAGTGCATCTGGTGATGATACTGAGCTTTTCAGTCTCCCTCCCTGCTTCTTTATACTCTTCCCCTTTATACTGCAGCAACTGACAGGCAAGCAAGCCAGCAGGGAGCTGATAACAGTGTTCATCACCCCATTAGCAAAACAATAGCCTCTCTCCATTACTTCAAACTCTTCTTAAGAAAACAGCTTACCAGATGACCTGTTGATTAGCTCCAAAAAGCCCTAACTGGTCACTGCTGTCTGCCTGTCCCAGTGAAATTGGATACACGCACACCTTTCAGCATTAGCTATCATACCACATGCCTAAGGTCCGTGGGGCTGGGGTCTGTGCTGTGCGAGAAGGGAGGATCCCTGCTTCAGCAGCAAGCAGTGGGGGGTGGAGGGAAACCAGGCAGACCCTGCTGTGCTTGCCGTCTCCACCAGAGCTCCAGACAGGGAGCAGAGGGAAGGGGCCAACCCTGCTGTGGAACAGAGAGCCCGCCCAGCCCAGAGAGCATGCTGGGGGAGTCTGGTTTATCTTAAACCAGCAAGAGGTTTGGGATGGACATTGCATAAACCGGTTTGAGCCAAATCAGCTAAGTCTGACGATAGTCAACCAGGTTTATTTCAGATCGGTTTCAGCTATTTTTAAACTGGTTCATGTGCACTGAACATCTGTTCTGTTACAGGTTTAAACCAGTTTCTGATCTCTTAAACCTGTTTGTGTGTAATGTCTGTCCGTAGCCTGGGTGTTTTGAGGAGGGAGGAGGGGAAAGGGGGAAAAAAAAAAAAAATCAGAGGACTTAAACATCCACAAAGCATATTGTAGAATAATGTAGGGTCTTGTAGAAGATGCTTACAGATGCCAACTGTGGATTAGCTTCCATACTAAATCATTTGAAAATATCTATTTTAGTTAACAATCAAGCAGGCTCTTCACATTGTTCAGCCACTCCATTTCTGCACTTGCAGGCTTGCCTTCAGGCTCTTCTCTTCTCTTTTTTAATTTGAATGATGCACCAAATTGTGAGCTTACAATTTTTGAGTGACTGGTTGAGAGAAGTCCTATTCTAATGACACCTGTATTGTCTACGACAAAACCCCAGTGTTATACCTACACAAGAGGACCCCCATCTTAAGCTCTGCTATGCCTTCACTATTAGTGAGGCACCATGCATGCACATGTGGCACATTTACTCAGTGTGCCTTGATCCTCCCTTGAATAGGTAGATCAGAGGATAACAGTCTGCTATTGACATCAGTTAGTGGGAGTAATTTGTTTAGCACAAGTGACCGTGACCCGTTCTAATGGATCCAATAGGCTGAATCTTGAATCCCACTGTCAGTCCTCGAGTCACTGTGCCCATGTTGACGTGTTGCACTTTATGCTGCAAGTACCGAATTCACGAACCTCTTAAGCAAAGGTAACTTGGGCAAATTACAAGATCATTTTTCCTGGTGCAATGAAGGACTCCTGGGAACATGATTGAAAGTACATATAGGGCCTTTTTACAGCATCTGTAGGTGGGTACTCCTGACTCTTGTGCTCAGGGACACAGGGGTTACTAGGAAGCCGCTTGCCACTCACCTGCTTCAGCCGTTTAATTTCATGTTCCATTTCGACTTCCCTTGTCTTCGCATTGAATTCACTCACGCTAGTTGAAGAGCTTCTACCACGGCCGGGACGCTCACACTCTAGCTTATACAGCTGTAGGTGCTCCAGTTCCTTCCGCAAGTCCTCAATCAGCTGCATGGTGATCAATACAGTTAGGCTGATTGTAGCAGGCTGTTATTAGTGGTCTGCATACCAACTGATCACCTACTTTCTAGCAGTGACCACCCACCCACCCTTGGGTTTACACTGCAACAGAGGCTACACATTATACCTCTGAGCTTGTCTATCACAGCCAACACCTCAGCTCTTATTCCTTGGAAGTGCTGATCAGATGGGTATTTACACTCTTCCCCTATATAGACTAAGAAAACAAAACTAAAAGGACCTCCTGGGTCATGAAGTGCAGTCCCTTAGTAACCCAGGCACCACGTGCAAGAGCAGATAAGTTTATTAACAGGAATACAAACAGGAACCTTGAAGAGCACATGTGCAGTGCTATGGAGATCAGGGGACAACATTTAGAAATATAAACTCTCTGGGTCAGGAACTGTCATATACCATGTATTCGCATAGTACCCAACACAATGGGGACCCAGGTCAAGGCCTCTAGACTCCTGTGCTATAAAAAGAATGATAGAAGTTCCAATGATACGGTCAAGATTACTGTGTTTATGCTACATCCCAGCCTGGCTGCTTGTACTAACCAGCCCGGTTATTTATACCAACAAAAAGATACAGAATCAGCCCCCACAGCCCTGGTGGCACTCACCTCCTGAGTAGCTTCCCTCTCCTTATTAAACTGTAATCTGTTCTGCCGTAGTTTGTCCATCATCCTTTTGTACAAATCCATCTCGTCCTTCAGCCGCAAACTGGTGTCTTCCAACCTGTCCGACATACGTTGCCGCTCCTGAGGTAAGAGAGACATTTTATGGCCACCTTGAATTACACCACGCTAGCGATTCCCCACCATCCTTTTACATCTCGACTCCATTTGTCAGTACAGATGAAGCTGTTCTAGAGCACAGTTTCTCAACCTGTGGTACGTGTACCCCTGGGGGTACGCAGGTATCCCAACACTCTCTCACCCTCTTTTCCTCTCTTTCTTGCCCCTTCCTCCTCTCAAATATAGGGCAAAAAATTTGGTGCACCATGCATTGCATGGCGCTTTAAATTCCCCAGTAATAATTTGGCGAATAATTCAGCCCTAGCTTTGGCCAACATCACCTCTATCCCAGGTACATACTTGAGTTGTGCACCCCTGGTGTAAAAGGTGGCAACCCTACCCACACTGGATCAGACATCTGTCATATCATGGCCTTATATACCCAGCCCTTCTTCCAACATATGGCACACATTAGTCTGTAAATATAAAATCCCCTGGAAAATTGAATGTTGGGGTACTTATTAAAATTTTCAGAAGTTAGGGGGTACTTGCTACTTAAGAGCTTGAGAAACACTGTTCTAGAGCTATGTTGCACCCAGATGCTTAAAAGCCTAGGGTTCTTGTTTCTTCCAGCTGTCCGCATACAGAACCATATTCAGACAAAGGAGTTGAATGAACAAGCACTTCTTAGGAGGACCAAATCCTTAGTCAAATCTTAGTTTCAAAGAGCAACTAAAGTCAGAGAGCTGTCTAGAACGGTCTGAATGAACTTGGCAGAGGGAGTTAGACAAGGGGTATATTTCTGTACACTCTTGGAGGCACTCTCTCAAAAGAAAACTTACAAAAAAAAAGTGTGCTTTTTCTTTAAGACAGAGTTAAATTGCCCTCATGCTAGTCATATCCCCTGTAAAACCTCTGGTTTGCAGAGATAATTAAGAGTTCAATTCTTTTCTTCTTTTTTAAGTGGTTAGTCCCTTAAAATCTGATCTCATTCATCATGAACAGAAATATACCCAGCCATTACAATGGTTTTTAATGTGAACTCTGAAAAAAACCCAAAAATCCCAAAACAGTGGGTTTTGCAGTCTGGCTCTGACTGATGCTCCTTTAGATTTGATAATGATACCCAAAGTTCATCCAGCTCCATTTATTCACTTATTCTGGACACTGAAGGTTTAAGAAAACAAAGCAAGAAGCCCCCACCCAACACACACAGACAAGCTGCAGTGTTTGGTCCTCATGAGCCCCACAGCTGAGAGAGAGTCATTAACAGCACAGATGTGATCAGCGCACAGTTTAGTCACCTCATCAAGTCTCTCCGTCTGTGATTTCAGCCGCGTGACCGCACTTTTAAGTTCACCATTTTCCTCTTCAAGTTGTTGCACCCTATACAAAGAAAACCAGCAAGTCTTAGGCTGAACAAATCTACAGGGAGAAACTGGAATGCAGAGAAACAGGCCCCCAGAAAGACCCATTCATGTTCAATAAAATAACCAGAAGGTGTTTTGTTTTTTCACTTTGATCCTTCATGGTTTCCATCATGATCACTAACTCTTGTTTTAAAGCAGCCCCAGCTGCCACACTAGCATTTAGGTACCCAGCTGATAGGAACGAGATCGGAGCCTGAACAGAGTCCAGCAGAAAGAAATGGACCCCTAAAAAAAAAAATAAAAAATACCCAATTCAGTTGCAATCATGTCTCTTTGGAAAGCTGTAAATCTACTTAGTTACACGGCTCAGATGGACATATGCATCATGACATGATGGCAGAGAGGGTGCTAACCCACTCCAGCATTGAAGTCGGCAGCAACATACAATTAATCTGCTACCCAATAGCAGCTTCGGCTGAAAAGCAGCATCTTGCACACACAGAAGTACAACACATGCAATGCCTGGCTCTGCTGCATTAACAGCATTCTAATAAGTTTTCTGCATGTGTTTTGCAGCTGTTGGCAACCGACTTCCCCAGGTCCTGGGCCAACAGTCTTCCAGTTCTGGCTGCAGATGGGAACACAATGGACACACCTGGGATCCATGTACAGGCAAGGTTGGAGTCCAGTTACTCTCTAGGCATTTCTCTAGGCCTACAGAGGCTTTAGCATAGAGTCTGCTCCCTCAGTGTATGTCAGAGCCACAGCTTGGCACCCTTCACAGCATGGCACAAGGCTCTTGGCTGAATGTCTAGGTGGATGCTTTGGCGGCTCACTGCAGCTGTGGGCCTGCAACACCAGTAGCTGGAGGTTATCTAGCTTCTTCCCTGTTTGATCCTAATGATGCTAGGCACCCAGGCAGTCATTTAGGGACATGCATTCACACCACATGTTCATTATTACACTATATACATGTTCAGTCACAATGCAAGTTGTGTGGGGGACAAGTGGCAATAGAGTTCAGTTTGGAGAACAAGGTAGGTGTATCCATACCCCAAAAGGCTAAGATATATCTGCCAGCAGGGCTCTGCATGGGTATAGGGGTCTGTGCACTGCAGCCAGCTGGGAAGATTAGAGGGCAAATTCCAGGCATGGATCCTTCCAACACAAACCACCAGGCCTGCTCTTGGGTGTTACATAACTCAGAAGTGAGTCTTCAACTCCAAGTACTTAACCCGCATACCCATCTGCACCAAAGGCAACAACCCACCATCTACGCTTGTGCAGCAAATGCAGAAGAAAACCCAACTACAAGAGTGAGGGACAGTGTCACTGTTTTCTGCGTGAATCCAGACAGCATGTATTGTTGAATGACACTAGTGAAGCCAGCGTGTGCATTACCTCGTGTTCAGCAGCTCAATTTCAGTGCCCTTCTCTTTTTCGTATTTGCTATATGCTTCTCTATGCCTCTTCACCTCTTCCTCCAGGGTTTGTTCTGCTGATGTCTCCTGGTCTTTCAACAGCTCTTCTAGTTCGTGAACTCTAGGGAAGCCAACGTTATTTTGGTAACGGTTTCATAAATACTCCGACACTCTGGGATACATCAAAGCACCTTCGCCCCTCTTTTTACTGAACTCGCCACTTCGTTTCTCTCCTTTCCCAGAGTCATAAAGTTAAGCAGCATCAGTTCCTATTATTATGCTATTTGTCAATGTTGTACGAAAGGGAGTAAATTCCACTTCCAAGATCACCTTTAAGTCCTCCCCTATATCAGTTATAAAAGCTCTAAAGAATCCTCTTCAAAACCACATGCCACGGTTTCATCTTTACAGACCTGGAGACAAGTCAGTCAGACCTTGCTTGGCAGCAGCACCCCACTGCATTACTAACTGTGGTCAAGAGTCTTTGCTCACTACATATTCAGCAAGACCCGAGTCAGAAGTGCGAGGGCGCTGGCTCAGCGACATGCAGACGATTCAAATCGGAAGTTCGCGCTTTTTTACAGTTCAGCAACTGAGACACAATATTGGATTTTCCACTTTGCTGCTCGCCTCCTTACAGCTCTGGCCTTGGAGGTATTGCAGTCAGGTGGCACAGGGGAAGCAGGCTGCATGTTCGATTACCTGTGAACTAGCTGTGTGTTCTCCTGCTTCAATTTGCTCTTCAGGTCTCCATTTGTCATGCTGTCGTTCTCCAGTTCTGTCACCTTCTTTTCTAAATACGTTACCTAGAAAGGAATAAGGGTTTGGGTCAATCACACACTTCCCTGTAATTTTAAGAAGGACATTTTAGCCAGGTACAAAATGTACTCCTGCCAGGACGTCCCTGAAAGGGTATTCTAGGATTAGCCTGTCAGACAGGGGATACAACCCAGCGGGCCAGGGCACCAGGCCAGAAGGAAAAACCTCAGCCTCTCCACTCTGCTCTGCAACTGCAAGATGCTGCAGCAAGGCAAAGTCACAGGAGCCAGCAGTGAGTGCTCTCTAGTTTTAGATGCCCAACCTGAGAAACCCGGGCCCAACTTCAGACTTGCAGGCGCTTAGCTACTTGACATTTAGTGTTATGTCAAACACCTCCCAAAATGAGGGAACTTAAATCTGCTTTGAACATTTTGGTCTTAAGCCTCTACATACTGGTTTTATAGTATGTACAATGAAGTAATGAACCCCCTCGACAAAAACGAGTAACGGTAGCTGTAAATAGGAAATTTAAGCCTTAAGAGGTCTTGCTTAATTAATTAATTAATTAATTAATACAAACCTTGTTTATATCATTTTCTTGATGACTGAAAGACTGATATATTAATCATGCTAAAATGCACAGCATTCCCATCAGCTCCTTAGCTTCTACATTAGGTTAGGCTCTTCCGATTCTTTTGGGAAAGGAAGTGAGCATTAACTGTGGGATATTCAGAGATCCTGATAGAGATCACCAGCCACTCTAGGTGGCTCATTCAAGCAGACACATGTAACCAACAAAGGCTCTATTAAATCTATTAATCATGATAAAGGCTCCTCACCTTTTCAGTGATATCGTTATCACAAGAGTCTATGCTATCTCTGAATAGGTCTTCTGTGCTGCCGTTGCTGCTGCTGAAGTTACTGTTGTGGAAGAGTTGTCTGGAAGATAAAGGGTGGGGGGGAGTATTACGATATTTTGTAGGAGTCCATGATATTTTAGAGCAGCTTAGCATGGGAGGTTCAAGGTGCAAATATCTGGACAATTTACAACTGCTTAAGGATACACACACAATTGATTTCTCAATCCTACACTGACTAACAGGTTCAAATTCTACTACTTCAGACACCACAAAAATACATTTATTCCAGATGTCAGAGTTCGTTGCTAGTAGTAGCCTTAGACAGGGTTCACACCAATATCAGTTAACATGCTTTAAAACACTGTTTATTCTTATGCAAATTAGGTGCTACAGTGTGTTCATGTTTACTACACTAATATTCATACAAGACCTACGAGATGCTTGGTGGCTGAGTTAACCTCGACGCTTAACAATTTTGCAAGACAAGCAGCACGGTTTTCTTTAGTTGAAGAAGGGAGTGGCTGGGAAACCCACCCAAGAATACCCAGTGGTCAGCTTAGCTGGCTTATTTCTATTAAGCTCTCTTACACCCCTGAATACCCTCAAATCCCAACAACTCTTTAGCAGACAGGCTCTTCCTACCTTACAGAACTAGACCCCCATTGCTAACAACTACATCCAACTGCAGGGTGCCTAAAAGGACTACTCATGAAGAAGTCCAGAAAGCAGGTCACTGGGTGTCTCTATCCAAGGGTAGTTAAATACTGGAACAGATCACCTACAGAGGTTGTGAAACCTCTCTCACTGGCAGTTTAATTGTAGGTTAGACAAACCTTTATCTGGGATGCGTTACACAGGGATGAGCCTATCTTGAGCAGGGAATTGGAATGGATGATGACCTTCAGTCTTTTCCAGCCCTATTTTGCTGTGATGCTATTTGACTGATGTCAGCCAAGTTAAACTTATAGCTTAATGAGATACTTGTTTTTTTTGTGAGTAGAAGGGGTAAGGACAGAGATAACCATAAAAGATTCCTTCCTAATCGCTAAGCAAATTGGAGGAAAAAATGTTATTCTTCTGATGTAACTCTTTTCAGTACCAATCACAGAACTATTCCTCATTTCTGTTTATGCATCATATTTAGTTTCCTTAATGCTAGAGAAACACCCTACCTAAATCTGCGTCATCTACATAAACCTTCGTTAGCAGTCGATATTAAAAGGGACTAAAATAAGCCAAAAGGAGGCAGATGCAATTTCTTACCTTCCAAAAGCTGTGCTTGATATTTTTCTATTGGGGCTACATGGAGAAAGAACAAGTGACACAGTAATTATGTATTTTATTTGGTTAACATGAGAATCACTAACAATCCCACAGTTTAGTAGTCAGCTGAATTCTGTATACCATGTAATAGTCAAGTGTTGGCTTTTTATTTCTGAACAATTATTTGGTGAAGCAAACCATACAAATTAATCACAAGCTACCCCAAGAACTAGCAACATGAAGGTGGGCCTAGAGCCAGAAGTCACTGTGATTGTTAATAAAAATTAATTTGGAAATGCTGTATTCGGTACAGAGAGTCCTGTTACAATTAAACAGGGTTTTATCAGCTCGTGTCAAAGCAAGAAACCGGAACACTGCAAGTACTGTGTAGCGTTAGTGACATATTTATTCCAAGTTTCCAACTTTCGGATGATTTTTGAATGGAGGCATTCCCCTCCCCAATACATCCCTCAAAATTACCACAAACTTTAATAGAAAGTATCTCAAGATTTTTTGTTTTGTTTTAATAAATCATCCTTTTTCTTTTTACAAGCAAGGACTTCACCTGCCTCGGGAGTTTCCAAGAAGCAGCACTGTTCAGGGGCCAGATCCTCAAATTGGTATTTAGATGTCTAATACATTCCAAGAGAGGGACCTAGCCATGTAACCAAGTCAGCTGCCTGAAGTCAGATAAAAAGCAGGACAGTGTGGTGCTTTGAAGATGCACTCACTCAGAAAGGCTTACGCTTTCATAGGTGACAGCCTACTTCATCAGATGCTCTGAACGTGTCTGATAAACCAGGCTGTAGCACATGTCAGAATGACTGGCAATGCATATGCCTGTACAAGCACAGAGTTTTCTTTAATTTAAATGATCTCCTTAGAGCAGATTCCCCTTCCCAGGCAAGGCGTCACAGAGGCAGATGGTTCATTTCTTACTGAAACAGAACACCATTCTCCGAATACAGCGGCGGCAGCAGTTGCAACATCTCTTCTCATTACAAAGGTATCAAAAACCCAGCCAGTCATGCTTTGACTTTTATCAGGTTACAGGCTGTCGTAACAGCAGTTAAAACCTTTTCATGAACACCCCCGCCCCCCGCATGCTATTGTTTTCTTATCTGGACTAGGTGCCGCACATTGTCTTTTTGCCCCTAAGAACACGGAACGAGGCAGCATTTGTATTCGGTGTCTAGGGGGAGCTACAGGTTCATGGATGAGCTGCTACAACCAGCAAAGGAATTTTGAGACTCTGGGAGCTCAAGGAAGTCGTTGTTTGGAGATGTACAAGTGGGTGGAGCACTGGGGAGTTTCAGGGCAGAGCTAGAATGTGCAGAGGCATCCAAAAAAAGTCACCGTCATGCTGGTTTTTAGCAGTTGCGCTCCTTCACCAAGTTTCCCTTGCTAGAATTTCAGCTTCAGATTCCAGGGCACAGAATCTCACCAGCTATTTTCCTGCCAGGCACGTATGCTGCAGCTGCAAGGTCAAGCCACAGAAGCTAGAGATTACGAGGCAAATCCTCAGCTAGGGCGAGCTGTCCTAGCATTGTTGATGCTCGTGTCGACAATGTCAATGAGCCATGACAATACATATGCTAAAGATCTGCCCCAGACATTCATTAGGTCAGTGTGCCTGATTGATGGATTGCTCCCCAGACACATACCTAGACTAGTAAATCCACTGTTACTAAGGTTAGGATGCTCACCACACTTCTCTGGGGAGGCTGTTCTAACACCACCCTCAAGCAGCAGTTTGAGACCTCGCTGTTCACATATTTTAAATGAAGAGGGCATCAGTGGTCTAACACCTGAGAAATATTTCCTAGATGGTTGGGAGCAGTTCCTGTTAAGATCAGATGGGATAGCAAGGTTTAAAATGTCCAATGCTGTTCTAGAAGAACAGCCTGGGCACTTAGCAAAAATGTTCGGACGTAGATTGGTTTCCCCTCTTTAGTTAGCACCATTTCTCAAAAGGACTTTCAAGAACAGAGTGACAGCTACTTACCTGTTTGCTTTCAAGTTTTTCAGCCGGGCTTCCAAGTCATTGAGTAGGTTTATTTTTTTGCAGCACTGAGAGCAGTAGACATCCAGTAACTCACTGTTATAAATGTGCCTCATTTTCCTTGGTGTTTGGCCAGCACTGTGTATACAAAAGGCAACAGGGTAGCTGATAACATGATTCAAGTTTCACTTTCCTTACCAGAGCATCACATACACAGTCACAAGTAGCAAACGTGCGGAGAATGCAACACCATTTCTATCGTAGCTATATCCATCAGGGCTAGTTGCAGAAGACACTTAAAAGGAGGTGGTCAGACATCCCAGGGCTACAATAGCTGTATTTGTCTGAGCTCCTAGGACAAGCCTACTCATCTTTACAGAGTATGGCTTTCAATAAGCCAGTATTAAACATATGCAAAATTGGAGCAAAAAGGAGGTGACCAGTCACCTCTGAGCTCTCTACAGGGATAGCATGGTGCTAATCCGATTCCAGCTTTAAAAATCAGGTAGTTTCTGATAGTGACTCCAGCTGCAAAATCTGTCAATTAGACTATACAAAGCTACGAAGGCTTTAGTGGAACCCAATGCCACGGATGCCAGAAGCAACATCTCTGCTGTGGCTTTTGGTGCGAAGAAGGCAGGGTAGGTATGCAACTTTACTAACTAGATAAGATTTTCTATAATTATGGGTTCATGAAAGCTTGTGTTCTAAGTTCACTTCATCAGATGCTGTCTTCCTTCACTGGGAAAACATCTGGAAATAGGTTTGGAGGCAGAAATGAATTTTTATCTTAAGACAACCAATCATCACGTAGGGCACACCAAGCAGTTCCAACACAGGCCCCTGCAGAGGAAAATGAAGATATAATAAATAAATAAAGATTAAGCAGCAACCTGGAAGACACAGATGAGCCTAAGTCAGAGTAGGCATTGGTTCTGGTCTCATCATCAGGACACGGGCTGCTGGGAGTGAAGTCCACATCATCTCCCTCCCCATAGTCTTCAAACTGTTCCTCATTGCTGATCAGGGAGGCAGTGGAGTAGGTGGAGAGGTCAGAAGCTGCAGAAGGGTTGTGAGGACTTGACCTGGAACAAGACATCAGAAGAGGTCATCTTTCTTGGTCCTCTACCATGAGGTTTCTCAACCTTTTCAGGAAGTCACAAATTTCTGTTTACTATCATAGAAAAAAACACCCCATGAATGAGACAATCATGTACTTGTAAGTGTTCAAAAGGATGCCGGAGAACAGTGACAGCGATGCATCATCTTTGCTCTAGCCTATAATATTTTTAATGCCACCTGCCTGCCATGATATTTTTTTTCTGACCACTCTCTCTTGCCTACTGGTTGTAAAGGTCTAAGGGATCAGAAAACACTTTAAGAAAATCGGGCTAACAAGAAACCAGGTTTGCAAAGAGGAAGAGGAGGAGATCTGACAGTGAGAGGGATTGCACAATTTACCCAAGGTCATAGCAAGTCAGCGACAGTCAGGAATGAAACTGGAGTCTCCCAACTCCATCTCCCAGGGTTTGTCCACATGGGCATGTCAGCACACTCTATGCTCAGGTGTGAATTTACTGCGTATCAGCTGTTCCATGTTGTCCTCTCTGCACAAGCACCCTTAGCACGCACTAGCTTACTCCACAGTGTGTACCAAGAAAAGCCACGTGGAGTTAACAAGGAGTAAGCATAACACTTCTGGGGGTGGGAGGGGGGGAGGCAGGGAAATTGTTTCACTTTAAAAGAATGCCGTCTTTTAAATTAGGCTCTGGTTTAACTAGAAAGCCAGCTTTGCTTCCCCGAGAGTGCAAATGCTTAGACACGGCACAAGTTTCCACTAAAGGACAGAAAACATTTTGGTTCAGAAGCTTTAGAATTGAGTTCCTTGAAGGAAAGCTCACAGCGGCTTGCTCCTTTTGGCTGCTCGGGAATCCAGGGGGCTGGAAAGGCATGGCAGAAACCCTGCGTCTGAAGTGGGCAGCTCAAAGGAGCTAGGCTCCCACAGCCCGCTTGGCTGCCATAAGGGAAGCTGCTCCGGATGAGGAATCTCTACAGTCTGTAGAACTGATGGTGGTGGTGGATTCAGCTTAACACGGATGCAGCTGGTGTCGAACAGAGAAAAAGTGGAAGGAGGTGGTGGTGCACATCTCAAACACACCCTGGCACAGTGTCCCATTCCCTGCATTAGTGCTGGTCCCCCTAGATGACAACCTAATCTCACATGGCAGAGGATCTAGAGCTCCAAGTCTCCCGGTGCCCCAAGCAGGTGTCAGTGAGATGCCACATGACAGTGTTTGCTTTTAAAAAAGCAAAACAGTAAATCACACATGCAGCTACATTAAATCAATATTACAGTGGTAAAACACAAGCACTTCAAGTGAAGAAAGGCCAGAATTACAGTAGCGTGTAAGGAAATACAGAAGACAGGGTAGTTAGCAACACAAATCTCTATGCAGCCCAACACCTGCATGTTTTTACCTAGATGAGCCAACAGCTTTAAGGCACCCCCCTTGCTTTGTGGTGGATTCATGCTTGAATCATGATACAAATGGTCAGGAGTAGAAAGGTAGAGCCAGGGAGGAGGAATAAAACCACCCATTTTTAATGGCTAATGCACTGAGTTCATTGTGAGGGCTATACCAGAACTGTCTCGACAATATGCAACTCAATCCCAGCTGGAGGTGCCAGGCACACGTAGGAACCCTATTAGAGATGGGAGAATAAATCCAGAAAGAGATAAGAGCGGGAATTTTCAAAGCCATTTAAGGGAGATACAGATGGCCAAATGCCATTAATTTTAAATGGGTATTAGGAGCTTAATCTGAGATTGTTCAGACGCCCAAGTGATTTTAGACTGGTCTGAAATGAGAATGATCAGTTGACATGAGATGTGTGCCCTGGGGGGTGGAAAAAAAAAGAAGTCTCCGACAGGTGAACTGCCACTCACTTGTCTCCAGGCAGGAACAGGCCTCCGAGCACGCCATCCTTCTCTTCACTTCTGCACACGTCAGATGCTTCCGAGCTCTGGGCACTCTCAATGGCACTGTCCATGTCAGACTCATGGTGAATTTCCTGCTGTGCCAGCGTCATCGTGTCTTCATCAGGAAAGAGCTCTGCCTCACTGTATGCACTTTCACTGTCCAAATAGGCACAGTCGTGAAGTTCACTATCCTGCCAATGAAGAGGAGAGAGGGAGGGTGTCAGGAGGCATTCACATTAGGTACAGTAAATGGCAAGAGCAGCTATATTGCTACTGCAAGGATGCACTTGGGATTCTGGTTCTTCCAACTGGGGTAAGTGTCAGAATGAAGGGCTTTTCTCTCTTTTTTTTCCAAGGCCAGATCCTGCAACCTTTCTCTCGGTGCAGTGTCCCAGGTGGCACAAATATTACAGCTCTCTAACCAGCAAACAGCCAACTTCAGTAATCCTCATTACCCAACACACCTGTGACAGTGTGAACCATGGCAGAAATTAATGCAGTTCACAACAGAGCTCGTTTGTCACAGTCTCTGCTCTCTTTAATCTAAAGTATTCCTTTTCTCCCAATGTTCCCAAATTAGTTCCTGTAAAGGGCAAGTTCTTAGCGATGTTATGTAGTAAAGTAACCTCTTACACAGAAGTAACCAGGAATACTTGGTGCACTATTTGCTTAATTATTAAAAGAAAAAAAGAATTTAAACTGGAAAAAATAAAAGCTGGCAGAAGGAATTAAAAAACCTGATAATCTGCAGTAACAAATGCATAAAAGAAGGGGGGGGAAAACCCAAAGACATCTGTTCCTGCTTTTGGGAAGCTTATGGCACCATTAAGTATTAGACTAAAATACGACACCCTTTTCTTTACTGCAAAAACATTTTGCTGTTGACACTTGCTTCTTCATGGCTTTTTACAACAGTCACCCTAAGCTGTATTTTTATTCTACTTTTTCTCTTGTCCTTGCGAGACAAAATAATTGAAAACGAAAAAAAAAAAGCCAGAGATCCTGTTCTTTTGTCCTTTGTTCCAACACGTGGCAACAAACATTTCCAACACTTCACTGTAACACAATTCACGCTGGCTCAAGAGTACGCGGCCAGTCTCTCAAACAGCATGGCTAAGGCCCCCACTGCATAGGCATCATACACATACTTAGCTTGAAGCCCCATGAGCTCTCCGTGTTAGGCCTACCCATGGCAGGTAAAATTAAGTGCGTGTTTAAGATTTCATAGTTCAGGACCTTGAAGTTATTCATTGCAGCCAATGACCAAGCAATTCACTGGAATAACTTTGCATTTGAGCCATGTGCCTCTCCTCCCTTCTCTCAGCAATCATGATGAGGCATTAACCATGCTGCACAGCAAACTCGTACCTGTATGCGTTCCCCCTCTGCTGGGTTTACTCCAGCCACCCCCAACCAGTGCCTCAGAGGCAACATGCAACCTGCAAAATCTACCAGCATTGCTCACAGCCTGTTACTGGCTCAGTAGGTATTGTTGCCCATGGGCCAATGATGACTGAGGGCTCCAGATCTGAAAGTCATTGCCCGGGTCTTGTCCAGCACGCAGCAGCGTTAGTGTTGGAGTTTGCACACAGACTGCTGCAGATACTCTGCTGTATACTAGAACAAAAGAATCAGCGGAGCCCAGAGGAATATCCTCCACTTTTAAAATGAAAATACATATGCTAAAGATCTGCCCCAGACACCCAGATGAAGTTGCAGGGGAGCGGGGATGGTTTATGCTGGACAAGAGCAGTTTTGTGCAACACCCTTGTCAACTTCTCAGCTGATGCAAAAGGGAAGTACCCTTATCAGAGAAAAGTTACAACTTCTTGAAACAGCCATTAGTAACAAGTGCTGCTAGGAATTTAGGTCTTATCTAGCCTGTTGTTACCGGAAGGCTGACATCTGAGGAACTAGAAGGATTACAGAGTCACAGACCCCACGCAAATCTGAGTGAATGAAACGGGAAACTGGTTTTATTCAGACTTTCAGAACTTGTACAAAAGACCTACTTAGCTCAAATACCCACAAACAGCTGATAGGACAGCTCTCCATCCCAAACCACTCGACGCATGAAGGACTGTATTCCTCCAGGTCCAAAAACGGGGAAATGGGACCAGTTATTTTATATTCTAGACACTTTAAAGAGAAAGTAGATTGCAGGTATGGACAGATGAAACTATACTCATTTAAAATGGGTTGTCATATAGGGGACACTTATATGCATCAAATATACTCATAATAAGTGAAGCTAAACCATTCAGCAACTGCCATGATCAAGGATAAACTGATTTTACCCCAATTCAGCTTCCAATTCCTGCGGGATAGAACAGACATACGAAATGGTTGCAGGAGATCAGCAGATGTGTGCTCACAACTGATAGAAATTCCGCATTTCTAATCCATCATACTTGTTTCACTTGTCCATGCCCTGGCACTTCCAAAGGGACCTACGGGATATAGGTACCTTCATACCATTAAAATTCAAAGGAAACTGGACACCTCATTCGCTTTGAAAATCCCAGCTCCGATGAATGGAATAGCTACCGTGCCCAGCATTATCCACATATGAAGTTTTTGCAGGATGAGGGTCCAAGTTTCCTTTCCAAAAATAAAAAGCTGTGTACTGCTCTCATGCAGAAGAATCCGACCACCGACAGTTATACTGCACGGTGTCCAGTGTACCCTGCTCTTACTGCCACACATGCTCTGTAGCTGCCCTCCGTATCATTACCCTGAGAAACGCTGTTTCTACCCACGGCTCCACATCAGATACTCTTCTCAAAAGATAAATCCCATATGCAAATCACTGCAGAGCAGCAACATCACAGCACTTTGGACTCATTTGTTGCTAGGAAGTAGCTTTGCTCCTTTAACATATATTCACCATGCACTGATATTAAATAGGAATTACACAGCTACATTAAGGACCGGTATATTTAAAGAGCATTCTAATGCAGATTCCCCTCCACATTGCCTATCTTGTTGTTAGTCATATGTAAAGTTAAAAGACTTCATGTCGGCCTGATGTTTTCTAAGTGCATAAGAGATTCTGAAAAATGGGATGGGGGAGCTCTTGGGTCTGCACTGGAAACAACAGTGCGGCTTAAAAGACTGAGCACTGGGTTGGGACACAGAGATGGGCTCAACTCCTGGTCCAGCTTGGATCTACCCAGCCAGGGCTCAATTTACCCTGAAAATTCCCTTTGTGCTGCTGGGGTGGCGTAAAGCACCTGGCCCCCCAAGTTCTTGCATCTCAGAAGGGTTTAATGCAATTAAGTACTGGCTGCTGGTACAGAAATATCTAGAGCTGTTAAAATTTTCTAGTCCAAAAGAAAAAGTGGCACGAAATGATTCAGCCAAGCTGTTAAAATGGAAATTAACAGATCAAGGGAGGGAGTGAGGGGGGGACCCCAACCCCCACACATCCAGGCCTCCAATTAGCCTGTCATTTCTGGAGATCTTGCTGAAAACTTTGCTTAAGCAAGTCTTTATTGCAGACAAATCTCCCTGGGATTAAAACATTAATACGAGAAATTAAAAGGTCAATAAGAGCAAGACAGACACACAGGCCGATCCCGGTAGGTAGCAACCTACATTTGTTTTTATAAAAATAGCAACCCAGGCTCTTTGAAAGGGGTCTATTAATGAGGAAACGTGCATCCACCTCTCCAGAGCCCTAGCTGCTCATTTTCCTTCCTGATGCTCCCCCTTCCCCACTTTTTTTTTTTTGGCAAGCTAACAGCCACATTTTTAATTGGTTTTACAACGTCTATTTTTAGCTTGCAGCAAGGCATGCACTGTACCTGCCTGTTCTGCTTAGCACCACGTACTATTGTTTTCAGTTGTAATTATTCCTCTCCTCACCCACTCCGAGCCAGAGCTTTGAGAAACAAACTGCCCCGGTAGATAATTTACAGCAAAGGTGCCTACAACAACCTTTGAAACCTGCTTTACACACGGTCAGAGAGAAGTAGCTAGCATCTTAGTCTGGAGACAGGCAGCAAGCAGAGTAGGTGGGCATCTTAACTAACTCGTTCAGAAAGGCATAAGCTTTCACAGCAAACAGCCTACTTAGATGCTATGGATGCTGTTGCCTACGAAAGCTTATGCCTTTTTGACCGAGTTCATTTCTAAAGTGCCCTCCTGCCCTGCCTTCTGCTTTACACCCTGTTGAAAATCTTGATCATAAGGCTCCCATCGACAGCTGCTTCCAAGCCCAGACTGCTGCCTCATCTGATAACTGCTGCTGCCCACAAGGAGCTCAGCACAGGTTGCACTGTTCGGCTGGCCGAATGCAAGATGCACAGTGCCAACGCTAACCTCAACGTTGGCTTCTCTCCCTGGTGGGTTCTGCACAACACCAGTTCTCCCAACTCAGAGGAAAACATGAGCTGGGAACATCATTCAAGGCCATATCCTTTTTACCTGAGATCTTGGGCAAGGGTAATTGAGACAGAAAGAGCTAACACTTGGCAATTGTCACTATGGAAAACTGTTTGGGGGCCAGAAGCAGTCAAGAGAGATGGGTGGAGGGCAGATGAACTCAGTTAGGAGGGATAAACTCACTCCCCCCCACAACCCACCTTTGTGTCTGCGGGTGCAGATGTATGCAGCCATAAACCAGCTTCCTACAGCAGTCTCCCAGGCCCACCTTTCTTAGAAATACAACCCTGGCAGGGGCAACTGGGTCCCCGGCACTTTCAGTCTTGCTTTGTTCATGGCATGTTGGAGATGTGGTTAAAATGCTGAGCCCTGGTAATAGGGTTCGCCACATTAGAGAGATGCGAGATGCTTGGGATCTAGGTGAAAGCCATGTGTAGCACTGCAGGCTGTACGCTTTCTGTGTGGTAATCATGGGTATCACAGAAAGCAACTTTTGCCTTGAAATGAGACTGGAGACAATGCTCAGAGAGCAACACCAGAATGCAAGCTGTTCCAGTGGCCAAGTGCCAAGTGCCATGGATTGAAGAATCACTGGTAGGGAACGTGTTCTTTTCCACTTATCTTTTCTTTGATATGCACATAGCTAAGGCACACCACTGAGAAACTTGTTTGCACAACGTTACAGATTTTCATGGAGTAAGTCACAGGAAAATTTCCTTGATACGGCCTGAATAACAAGAGCACACACACAAAGAAAAAGCCTTTGAAATAGGCAGGTTAGAAACCACTACTGGGGATTAAAGCA